CTTATTTTGGAAACCTACAGACAGAGGGCCTTGGACTAGGTCTGTGCCACTGAAGATTTCTTCCTTCTCCCCTTCCATTTCTGAGCATTTGCCAATTAGCTTAACAGAAACAAACAAAACAGTCTGATCGATTTCCAAAGGGATTACACAAAAGTAGTAAATGACCCAAGCCAACCACTCCAAGGCAGTCAGATGCAACTGGATTCCATGCTGATCTCAGTGTACCACACAAGGTCACCACAGGAGAACCAGAAGTCAGAACAATACTGGTTGATTAATAGTTGGCAACATGGAGAACAACTAAATAATTCTGGAGCACCGACCACTTTATACTGGGGGGGGGCCTTCACAAGGCATCTCAAAACTTCTGACAAAAGTATCCGTGTATCAATTGCACTGATTTTTCTTCAGCATTAACATGATGGAATCATCCCAATTTCTTCCACAGCCCACTCAGCTGGGCAAAAGATTAGCAAGAAGCTGTAGATTAATACAAGTCATCGTTCTCAAAAATAATGCACGACTGGCACTACGCTTTTGGGATCAAACCTGAAACTTGCGCATTAATTTTTTTCCCCCCAATGGCAACAGTTTGTATCAATTGCAGGACAGGTGAAGCAATTGAAACATAAAATCAAAATAAATCAGCAGGGTCAAACAATAGTGTCATTAACTTAGTCACAAATGATCAAAATTTTGGAACAGATCTCAGAGCATACCTTCTGCTTTGCCACATCTTGAGGTTAATTTTCCATTTTTGATTAGTTAAATTTAAAAATAGGAAAAGAGAGAGACTACAAGATCCTCACCCCAAGTATCACTTTTCCTTTGTTTCTGTGGGCTCCGGCAATTAGGAGTATCAGGTTTCCTTTTCATGACTAAAAACAAAATTAATGCATCAGGTTTGAAATATTCAAAATCTCTTTTCCATTTTCAAATTAATATGGAAATACTTCTTTACAGAAACACTTTCTTTCCTTCCTGGGAGATTAAAGGAGTGCAGAGTTGCGCAGGTGAGAAGTGTATACCATGATGGAGCAGACATGACACGGGGAAGCTGGAAGGATCAATTCTGTGGTATATTCATTTCATTGAGACATCGCCTTCATAAGTTTGGGGCTGGTATTCATGTGCTCTGTAAGCCGTTCAACGTTGCAGTGAGTTCAGTCAAATTTTCAATTTACATCACGGTATAAAAGACCAAATAGAAATGCATACAATTAAAAGATACCTTCTTCTTCCACCTTTGACCAATCCACCAGTCTTGCATTTATCTTTTGTAAACTGTACTCCTAAACTGATTTTATAAGAGGTCAACCACTTTGTAGCTGGTACTTTCTAAACTCTCATTACTGGTGTTTCCACTCCTACCATTTATAATCGACACTCTTCAGTAGAGCAATCTTTTGCCTTCGGCAACATTAAAGTCAGAACCCCATCACTCTTGATCTCACCAAGCTTCAATTGTGCCTGGCATCTCAAAGACAAAACATTAGAAATGTCAAATGTGTCCATGACGTGGCCCTACCTTTGTAATGTCTCTAGCTCGATTAGGCTATACATATATTGTCCCAACCTCCTTATTGCTCCCTGCTCCCAAGTGTTCACTCTATATCTGGTCCTTCAGCTGTTGTGCTCCCACCCTTCAGAGCTTCAGCCATTTCCAACTTGCCACAGCTGTACTGAAAATAATCTCTAACTAACAGTTTTGTAACTGCTCCCAGGTGTGTCAAACAAAAGCAAAACACGTAGTATCCTACAATAGTTTCAGTCAAGCTTTTTGATTGGGAATGGGGGAAGGGAAGAAATGGTCAGAATAGAAGGAGCAGACTGTCAGCACATTTCATAACACAGGCCAAGAGTTTTCCACAAAATTGGCAAGGAATAGTGGTGATAACATCAATGCATGATCACCAAGCAATAATCCCAAGTTATTATTGCAGCTTAACAGCAGTCAGTTTGTCATACCCTTGAATCCAAGCTTAACTCCAAGGTGTCGGTTAACGTGCCACTTGCCAGTTTGGTGACCAATTTTCTTTCTCAACACATTTGAAGATGGATCTTTGTTCCCATTTTTCTTTTTATCTTCATTAAGTTCCAGAACAGTCCATGTGTCTTTATCTGGTTCAATTTCAACCAGATCTTGGGGAAGGTCTTTGCTTTCCCTTAGATCGGATTTCTTGTGAAAAGCAACTTTGCATGGTAATCTATCCAATTCTTCAGACATACCGAGAGAACTTGGGTTTGCAACACCTGGCTTACACAAGCCTTCCATCTCATCGTTTTCTAGTCTAGTACTGTTTTCACGAGCCTGCTGCTGCATAGCCTGGACAATACACACATCTTGCTTAACGTCTCTCAAAACCTCAGCCTGATTCGAGTCAGGGGCAGTGTCAGTGCAGCTTCTGGGCCCAGAATTCCAGCTCTCGGATACTTCTAAAGCATGTCCCCTATGAGTGGCAACTGGCACACTGTGTAAAGTGGCCTCTATGTCCATGTGTTTTACAATACAATTTGGATTACTAGTCTCATTGCTATTTTGGGTCTCAGGCATGGCATGTTGCAAATCTACCTGGCTTTCAGTTTTATTTCCCTGTGATAATTTACAATGGCAATATATGCCAAGCACACCGGATGCAGCTAGCCAGGCATTAATACAACAATATTCTTTCCTTTCCCGTTTTCCCTTCTTTGCACAGCTGTTCTTATTGGTGACAGGATGTAATGTAGGATTTTGATCTCCCCACTGTCTAACAGGTAGCTTCATTGTCACTGCCTTGGAGCTGCCAGCCTTCCATCCATCACTGCAGGCATTCTGGGAAACTTTGCTTGGAGTTTCCTCACTCAACCTCGCATCTGAGTGATTGAACGTTTCAGACCATATACTTCCTGGAGGCAGCTTCTCGTGAAGTTTTGGTTTCGCTATTTCCGCGAGCAGATTCAGAATCTCAGTGTGTCCGAGTACCTTGATACTGCAAGAGGAGTTGCAGTCCAAATTGTCAGACAGGCCAGCTTTCTCACTCTCATCTGGCATTTGCACTTCTTCGAAAACACTCGATGCAGTTTCTTTAGCAATATTTGGCACTTTACTCTCACAATTTTCACTCTTGTGCAGATTGTGGTGTTTGCTGGCTGACTTTGCAACATTGGCACATGCAAATTTGGGAGGATAAGGATTCCAGAAATTCAGTAACGTTTCAATTTCTGTGTCAATTGAATGCAAAAGATCATCAAGACCCTGAGGCTCATTATCTGAAAATTTCAAAGGGGTTGGGCTATTAATTTCAACAGACATGGTGCTATGGTCACAAACCAGTTTCCCATCTTGCTCTTTGAAATCAGATGGCATCACTGAAGGACTCTGCTGGGGTTCAGGGAAATGATCTTTGTCTGCGGTTAGATCTATTAAAACATTCACCTGGCTAGTATCAGATTGAGGGGTCTGCTGACGTGTGCGTTTTTCCTGTGAACTCTCCAATACTGATTGCGCATGTCCCAATGGTGGAAATTCTTTTACTGATGGGCATTGTTCACTCTCCAAATTAGACTGAAGTAAACACGACACTTGTGGATTTTCCTTCACAATATTACAACCTCCATGCGCTGCTTGGTCTTGCAAACTGGATTCTCCAGTTTCTTTTATTGTTGATGCATCATTCGTTTCCTCTGGTGGAGAGCTAGTTAGATCAACCACAGGGCAGGGGGAGCTCTGCTGAACAGATTTCCACATCCCGGTATTGTCTCCCAATGAAAACACTCCAGTGATACAGATCTCGGGCTGATCTGTATTACAACTGGCAACAGTTTCATCAGCGACTACCACTTCATTTTTCTCAGAGTTGCCACTGCACGTCTTCAACTCTGATGAGTTTGTCATTTTCTTTTTATCAGGTAGAGGTACGTTTTTACAAACATTTTCACTCTTTGAAGAACCTTCCACAGCAGAAGCCATAAACCTTTTTTGAGGTGGACTGTCAGTTGCATTTTCCTGGCCATCACACAGCAACACGTCATGATGGAAACCACAATCTTTCGGCAATACTTCTGCATCCAAAATTAGGTTCCTCTTCTTCCCATTCAGCTCAGTGGAAGACACCAACATCTCAGCTGACACCTGACTAGGTTCGGCTGATGTATTCCCACAATTTGCCTGTTCCCCAAATCCTTCGGCTATAGATGAGCTGATAATTTCTTGATGTGGTTGTCCATTCAGGTTCAACAGGCTGGTAGCTGCTGGCTGAGCAGTTTTAGATTTCTCAGACTCTGGGGTAGGTACATCCACAACCAGGCTGGAGGTTTCACCTTGGTATTCAGTAAGTCTCACAGGTGCATGTTCTTCTCCAGTTAATACAGTAGAGGGGCTACAGACAGAAGATGCCTCCATATTCTGGCAATTCTGCACAAGAACAGAAGGTGGAATTACAAGTACCAGGCCTGAGGTTGCCTGCTCCTCAGAGTTTTCCCTGGGTAAAAGGCTAACAGAGGAGTGCAAAGAGGTGTTAGTGCTAAATGCCTCAGACGAAGGATTAGAACCTGAAGAAACAAGCTGAATTGTTTGTTTGCCTACACTTTTAGATGCTAAATTGACCGCTGAGCAGAGCACATTTATAGAATTTGGAGGATCTGAAAGAGGGATAGTACTCTGCTGCTCACTATTACACAAAGCCCCCACTTCAACTGTAGATGCAGTCACTGTGTGCTGGAAGATTGAATTTGAACTGCCCACTGATGATTCTCCAAAGTTACAATGCCCATGAGACAATGGGGTGAACTGCGAGGTCTCAGGGACTGTATTGTGCGAACTTACGTTGGCATTGAGATTTCCCGGGGACATTAAATTCTGTTGGGCATTGACACTGGAAGGTACCTGAGAAGTTATAATACTGACTTCATTCATAGTTGAAGGCGTAAAATAGAAGTGAATATTATGTACATCATCTCGAGGGCATAACTCTGGTTTAGAAGTGAGGGGAGGTACAGCTGGTACAAAAGGAACACTCTTCTGTTCCATCATCTCTGTAGGGGATGATGGCGTAGCTTGGTTTTGCTTTTCAACAAACTTTTCAGAAGTTGAACTGGCAACTTGGAATACTCCATTCTGATCACTTAATTTATAATGTAACTGAGTGCCTTGCACATGCACGTCCTTGGCGTTGGAAGGGTCAGGAGACTGAAGAGAACGTGGGTTTTGCTGCAAGTCTTTCCAGTCATGAGACATTGGAGTAACCCTGGCAAGCACCATTCTCTTTTGGCTATTTGAATTTGTTGATGCAAACCAAGAATTGGACGAACTGTGCTGCATGCTGGGCTGTGAACTCAAACAAACAGATTGTCCTGTCCTTTCAGAAGCCTGCAGAGTATTGTTAGAAGAGCCAGCTCTTACTTGTCCTCCATTTGTAAGAGCTGGCCAGTTTCTCTGGCCAGGCTGAGCAGACGCATTATAGGTTACATTCCCTTCAGGACCTTTGTTCAGATCTGTACCGACCTTGCCGTAAGCCCCCTGAATTTGAACCTGCCCGTGACATTTCACTAAATTATTTGCTGTTTCATCAAGAGTCAAGTTACAATTTCCTTCAGATTCAGAAAGATTTACGTGCTTTTGGTCCATTGAAATTTGAGGTACACTTCCATTCGGAGATGATAATGAAATTAATAAATTCGAAGACTGGGCTGCATTCTGATAAGCTACACCTGGATTTAAGGCTGGTATTACCCTCGCAGAATAGATATTGTGGGCATTCGGAGACTGGACGTTTTGGCCAGTGGTTGTGGTCGTCATCCATACGAGCCCGTTTACAGCAAGCTGTTGTACTCTTGTACTCGATACTGCATGGTTTTTGGCAAGAATTGGGATTTGCCTTTTCCCCGGAAGAGGTCGAGATGCTGCCTGCGAAACAACTTGGTGGGCTGAAGTAGTGTTTGGTGCTTGTGGGTTAGCTTTAACAACTGAAAGCATTTGTTGAGATTTATACTCCTGCGTCTGCGCCATCGGCTGAACTGTCCCAATCATCTGGTGGAGCGTTTGGAGGGCATTCTCAACAGGTTTAGTACAGCTATTAGACGGAGGGTGTGCGGATGCTGGGCGCACACACATTCTGTTTGCAGCATACGCGACATCGTTGCGAACTGGCTTCGATATTGGATACGGCGGCAACAATCCCCTCTTGCAATCGTAAATTTTCATCGTGGCAGCTCTGGGCAAGAAGTTTCATCACTTCTCAAAGTCGCGTCATAACCATCCAGCAGCAGTTCATGGTCCTTGGCACAAGGCTTATAACATACATAGATCCAGTGCCACAACAGAATTCTGAAAGAAAAAAGGACAGGAAGTTGTGAGTTTGTAACTGTCCTTGTCATTCCCTACACTGCTGCAGAAATATTGTTGAATAAAGGTAACGGACATACACAATTTAACCTAAAAACCAAACCATTTCACACAAGAGGAAATAGCTGAATGACTGCAAATCAAAATTGTACACAGGGCAATCTCCTCGGGGATTGCAATATCTCATCGCAGGCAGTGATATTTGCCCAGCAACAAATTAGGTTGGAGATTTCGGTGAATCTTGACATGTTTATAAAATGCTGATTTATCAATAATTTATTGATAATTCAGTAAGCAAAGCATGGTTGTTTGATGTATCAAAAATGTAGCAAGATTTGAAAGATGTCTTTTCTTTTTGTTTGGAGTATTTGTTCCCAATACAGGAGATAGGCTGTCCCATTAAAGTACAGAGTGCCCATTTGAAAAAAAGAAAAAGATCTATATAAAATTCCAGACATAACAAGGTGTAGAGCTGGATGAACACAGCAGGCCAAGCAGCATCAGAGGAACAGGAAAGCTGACATTTCGGGCCTAGACCCTTCCTCAGAAATGGGGGAGGAGAAGGGGATTCTGAAATAAATAGGGAGAGGGGGAGGCAGATAGAAGATGGATAAAGGAGAAGATAGGTGGGGGGGAGACAGACAGGTCAAAGAGGCGGGGATGGAGCCAGTAAAGGTGAGTGTATGTGGAGAGTTAGGGAGAAGATAGGTCAGTCCAGGGAGGACAGACAGGTCAAGGGGGCGGGATGAGGTTAGTAGGTAGGAGATGGGGGTGGGGCTTGAGGTGGGAGGAGGGGATAGGTGGGAGGAAGGACAGGTTAGGGAGGCGGGGACAAGCTGGGCTGGTTTTGGGATGCGGTAGGGGGAGGGGAGATTTTGAAGCTTGTGAAGTCCACATTGATACCATTGGGCTGCAGGGTTCCCAAGCGGAATACGAGGTGCTGTTCCTGCAACCTTCAGGTGGCATTGTTGTGGCACTGCAGGAGGCTCAGGATGGACATGTGGTCCGAGGAATGGGAGGGGGAGTTGAAATGGTTCGCGACGGGGAGGTGCACTTGTTTAGTGCGAACCAAGTGTAGGTGTTCTGCAAAGCGGTCCCCAAGCCTCCGCTTGGTTTCCCCGATGTAGAGGAGGCCACAACGGGTACAGCGGATGCAGTATACCACGTTAGCAGATGTGCAGCTGAACATTTGCTTGATGTGGAAAGTCTTCTTGGGGCCTGGGATGGCGGTGAGGGGGGAGGTGTAGGGGCAGGTGGAGCACTTCCTGCGGTTGCAGGGAAAAGTGCCGGGTGTGGTGGGGCTGGAGGGGAGTGTGGAGCAGACCAGGGTGTCCCGGAGAGAGTGGTCCCTCCGGAATGGATAAGGGTGGGGAGGGAAACATGTCTTTGGTGGTGGGGTCAGATTGCAGATGGCGGAAGTGTCGGAGGATGATGCGTTGGATCCGGAGGTTGGTGGGGTGGTACGTGAGGACGAGGGGGATTCTGTCTTGGTTGTTATTGCGGGGAGGGGGTGTGAGGGAGGAGTTGCTGGAAATGCGGGAAACACGGTCGAGGGCATTCTCGACCACTGAGAGGGGGGATGTTGCGGTCCTTGAAAAATGAGGACATCTGAGATGTATGGGAGTGGAATGCCTCATCCTGGGAGCAGATGCAGCAGAGGCAAAGGAATTGGGAATAGGGGATGGCATTTTTGTAGCAAGGTGGGTGGGAGGAAGTGTATTCTAGGTAGCTGTGGGAGTCGGTGGGCTTGAAATGGATATCGGTTTCCAAATGGTTGCCAGAGATGGAAATAGAGAGGTCCAGGAAGGAGAGAGAGGTATCAGAGATGGTCCAGGTGAACTTAAGGTTGGGGTGGAAGGTATTGGTGAAGTGGATAAACTGTTCGTGGGAGCACGAGGCAGCGCTGATACAGTCATCAATGTAACGGAGGAAGAGGTGGGGTTGAGGGCCAGTATAGCTATGGAAGAGGGATTGTTCCACGTAACCTAAAAAGAGGCAGGCATAGCTTGGGCCCATGCGGGTACCCATGGCCACCCCCTTTGTCTGTAGGAAGTGGGAGGGATTGAAAGAAAAGTTGTTGAGGGGGAGGACGAGTTCGGCTAAGCGGATGAGGGTGTCAGTGGAGGGGGACTGGTCGGGCCTGCGGGACAGAAAGAAGCAGAGGGCCTTTCGACCATCTGTATGGGGAATGCAGGTGTATAGGGACTGGACGTCCATGGTAAAGATGAGGTGTTGGGGACCAGGGAATTGGAAGTTCTGGAGGTGGTTGAGGGCGTGGGTGGTGTCACGGACGTAGGTAGGGACTTCCTGGACCAAGGGGGAGAAAATGGAGTCGAACTAGGTGGAGATAAGTTCGGTGGGGCAGGAGCAGGCGGAGACAATGGGTCGACCAGGGCAGTCAGGTTTGTGGATTTTGGGAAGGAGATGGAAACGGGCGGTGCGAGGTTGGGGAACGATGAGGTTGGAGGCTGTGGGTGGAAGGTCACCTGAGGTGATGAGGTTGTGGATGGTTTGGGAGATGATGGTTTGGTGGTTGGGGGTGGGGTCATGATCAAGGGGGCGGTAGAAAGTGGTGTCAGAGAGTTGGCACCTGGCCTCAGCGATGTAGAGGTCAGTGCGCCATACTACAACTGCGCCTCCCTTGTTCGCAGGTTTTATGGTGAGGTTGGGATTGGAGCGGAGGGAGCGGAGGGCTGCACGTTCTGCAGGGGAGAGATTGGAGTGGGTGAGAGGGGTGGAGACGTTGAGGCGATTGATGTCTCGACGGCAGTTGGAGATGAAGAGGTCGAGGGAGGGTAGGAGGCCTTGGGGTGGTGTCCAGGAGGAGGGGGTGTGTTGGAGGCGGGAGAAGGGGTCAGTAGGGAGAGGGTTAGGCTCACGGTTAAAGACTCCTCCAAAACTTCCAATTCCCCGGTCCCCAACACACCATCTTTACCATGGACGTCCAGTCCCTATACACCTGCATTCTCCATACAGATGGCCTAAAGGCCCTCCGCTTCTTCCTGTCCCGCAGGCCCGACCAGTCCCCCTCCACTGACACCCTCATCCGCTTAGCCGAACTCGTCCTCGCCCTCAACGACTTCTCTTTCAATTCCTCCCACATCCTACAGACAAAGGGGGTGGCCATGGGTACCCGCATTGGCCCAAGCTATGCCTGCTTCTTTGGAGGTTACGTGGAACAATCCCTCTTCCGTAGCTACGCTGGCCCTAAACCCCACCTCTTCCTCAGTTACATTGATGACTGTATCAGCGCCGTCTCGTGCTCCCATGAGGAGCTCGAACAGTTCATCCACTTCACCAATACCTTCCACCCCAACCTTAAGTTCACCTGGACCATCTCTGATACCTCTCTCTCCTTCCTGGACCTCTCTATTTCCATCTCTGGCAACCATTTGGAAACTGATATCCATTTCAAGCCCACCGATTCCAACAGCTACCTAGAATACACCTCCTCCCACCCACCATCCTGCAAAAATGCCATCCCCTATTTCCAACTCCTTCACCTCCGCTGCATCTGCTCCCAGGATGAGGCATTCCACTCCCGTACATCTCAGATGTCCTCGTTTTTCAAGGACCGCAACTTCCTCCCCTCAGTGGTCGAGAATGCCCTCGACCGTGTCTCCCGCATTTCCCGCAACTCATCCCTCACACCCCCTCCCCGCAATAACAACCAAGACAGAATCCCCCTCGTCCTCACGTACCACCCCACCAACCTCTGGATCCAACGCATCATCCTCCGACACTTCCGCCATCTGCAATCCGACCCCACCACCAAAGACATTTTTCCCTCCCCACCTTTATCTGCTTTCCGGAGGGACCATTCTCTCCGTGACTCCCTTGTTCGCTCCACACTCCCCTCCAGCCCCACCACACCCGGCACTTTTCCCTGCAACCGCAGGAAGTGCTACACCTGCCCCTACACCTCCCCCCTCATCCCCATCCCAGGCCCCAAGAAGATTTTCCACATCAAGCAGATGTTCAGCTGCACATCTGCTAATGTGGTATACTGTATCCACTGTTCCCATTGTGGCCTCCTCTACATCGCAGAAACCAAGCGGAGGCTTGAGGACCGCTTTGCAGAACACCTACACTCGGTTCACACTAAACTGCACCTTCCATTCGTGAACCATTTCAACTCCCCCTTCCATTCCTCAGACGACATGTCCATCCTGGGCCTCCTGCAGTGCCACAACAATGCCACCCGAAGGTTGCAGGAACAGCACCTCATATTCCGTTTGGGAACCCTGCAGCCCAATGGTATCAATGTGGACTTCACAAGCTTCAAAACCTCCCCTCCCCCTCCCACATCCCAAAACCAGCCCAGCTTGTCCCCGCCTCCCTAACCTGTCCTTCCTCCCACCTCAAGCCCCACCCCCACCTCCTACCTACTAACCTCATCCCGCCCCCTTGACCTGTCCGTCCTCCCTGGACTGACCTACCTCCTCCCTAACTCTCCACATACAATCACCTTTACCGGCTCCATCCCCGCCTCTTTGCCCTGTCTGTCTCCTCTCCACCTATCTTCTCCTCTATCCATCTTCTATCCGGCTCCCCCTCCCTCCCTATTTATTTCAGAATCCCCTTCCCCTCCCCCATTTCTGAAGAAGGGTCTAGGCCCGAAACGTCAGCCTTCCTGCTCCTCTGATGCTGCTTGGCCTGCTGTGTTCATCCAGCTCTACACCTTGTTATCTCAGATTCTCCAGCATCTGCAGTTCCTACTATCTCTATATAAAATTCCACATAGCCAACACTGAACATGACTGTTAAGAGCTCATATCAGATGTACTTTTTGACTTTGCACCTGATGACCTTATTTGTTTATAATAGGTGGCGCAATATTGCTAAATGCAAATAACACTGTTTGTGCATGCACACTCAGTGCATTCTCCTCTTTGGACTGACCTTTAAAGGATAGTGCTGAAGTAGAGCCTAGTTGCTGTATCAGCACAGTGGTAATTTGAGAGTCTCTTGCAGAAGACATA